TAGTATATTATGCTTTGTTTGGTTGAATGGCCAACTCGACAATTGGACACTTAGCATATTAGGCTCTTATTTATTTATTTTTTCCGTGTAAATGTGATCACTTCTTTTTTTTTATTGTCTAAAGTTTTACACATATCTCCTTTTTCCCTGATTGATCCTCCCCCCACAGCCATTCCCGCCCCCAGGCAAGCCCCCACTGCCCCAGTGTCTGTGTTCATTGGATATGCTAATATATATGCATACAAGTCCTTTGGTTGCTCTCTAACCCTCCCTACCTCCCCTGCCATTTGTCTCTGGATCTATTTTTGTTCATCAAATTATGTTGGTCATTATATCCCACATATGAGTGAGATCATGTGATATTTATCTTTTTCCAACTGGCTAATTTCGCTTAGCATAATGCTCTCCAGTTCCATCCATGCTGTTGCAAATAGTAAAAGTTCCTTCTTTTTTGTAGCAGTGTAGTATTCCATTGTGCAGATGTATAGGATTGCTGGATTGTATGGCCATTCTATGTTTAATCATTAGAGGAACTGCCAGAATTCTAAAGTGGCTGCCATTTTCACACATTGTTTGCGGGTAGTTTTTATCGCGCGCTAACAGGTGGCGCAGGCCATTTTTGCTAATTTTTTACGCAAATGGCAACGTTCAGTAAAATTACGATAACAGTTTACGTAAGTTTACGTATTTATACGTTACCCGCATTCTACCGCTAGTCTATAAAAAACGTATTAATACATGTCCTGCGCTCTACTACCAGTCAACGTAAACCGTATAAGTAAAACGTATAAATACGTTTCCCGCATACAATGTGTTCATTTCCACCAGCAGTGTAGATGAGAAAATCTGATGAGATGTATGGTAGATGTTTGTAGGCTGTGCTCTTAACGTATGTTTCCATCCATCATTTTTTCTCTCTGTGTCTTTCATTCTGTGTGTACTTTCATCATCTATCTTTCATTTGACTAATTCTTTTCAGCTGTGTCTAGGTCTGCTGTTTATCCAACCCATTGAGTTTTTAAGAATTTCATTGACTATGTGTTTTATTTTTAGAAATTCTGTTTTCAAATTTTTCTTTATAATAGTAACTTGATTTTTCTTAAGGTTTGGTGATTTGTATTTACAATGCCTTTCCATGCTTCTTCCACTTTCTGCCCTGTTAGTTTTATACCGTATGAAACGAATCACGTTTATGTTCTATTTTGGATGATATTTATATAAATTCAACTTCTTGTGTTTTTTTTAAAAAACATTTTTATTGATTTTCAGAGAAGGGACAGAAACATCAATGATGAGAAAGAATCATTGATCAGCTGCCTTTTTCATGCCCCCCACTGGGGATGGAGCCAGCAACCTTGGAATTGAACTGTGACCTGATTCATAGGCTGATGCTCAACCACTGAGCCACGCAGGCCAGACTCAACTTCCTGGTTTTTTGGTCCTGCTGTTTGTTGTGTTCTCACTAATGGTGGACTGTTTCCTTGTGGGTTTAACATTTTAATTGTGAGCTTATATTGAGCCAGTTTTGTGGTCTGGATTGTGGGGTAGTTCCTCCTGTTCCTGAGTTCCCTTCAGCCAGAAACCTCAAGTGCTAGCATTGGCCCAATTCCAGTTCTTATGTCAATTTATCAGCCCTGTGGGATGTAAATTTGAATCCCAAACTCCATGAGGCAATAGCTGTGGTTTTAGATTTTCAAGAAAGATACTGCCCCATCTACTACCATCACCCAGAGCCCAGCTATGGAGTTATGCCACTCAGATCTCTATTCAAGAACCCATCATTCAGCTGCAAGGAGTGATTCAGCTGACTGTTCCAGTTATTATTTCCTTCAGGAAATGCTTTGGCTTTTTAAAAAAATATTTTCATTGATTTATTTATTTATTTTTAAAATATATTTTATTGATTTTTTACAGAGAGGAAGGGAGAGGGATAGAGAGTTAGAAACATTGATGAGAGAGAAACATCGATCAGCTGCCTCCTGCACACTCCCTACTGGGGATGTGCTCGCAACCCAGGTACATGCCCTTGACCAGAATCGAACCTGGGACCCTTGAGTCTGCAGGCCGATGCTCTATCCACTGAGCCAAACCGGTTAGGGATTTCATTGATTTTTTAGAGAGAAGATGAGAGAGAGAAACATCATCGATGTGAGAAACATTGATTGGCTGCTGAGCCATCCCAACCAGAGAAATGCCTTGGCTTTTAAGGTAAGGCCACAGTTTTCTTGGGCAGCCCCAGCCCTCAGTGGGTATGTTCATAGGGCCTGGTCATTTCTGTCCAGCACAAGACTCCTCTACCAGGCAATATTTGCTCTAGAACCCTGTGTTCAGTTGGTTAAAACTTTGTCAGAGCTGCTCATGTTCTGTTCCTGCTGCCTGAACCTGCTTCCTCTCCTTTCCTTTCACAGATGTTGGATCTATATCCTGTTCTGAGACTTTTCATGCAAAACCCCGCTTCTCCCTTTTACCTTTCATAGTCATTATCCTATATAATAAAACCCTAATATGCAAATCAACCGAATGGCGGAATGACCGATCACTATGATGCGTACTGACCACCAGGGGGCAGATGCTCAATGCAGGAGCTGCCCTCCTGTCAGGGCCGATGAGCGGGCGGTGCCAGGCCGCCACCAAGGCGGGTGTCAGCCCCACCCGCCAGTGGACCCACATATCGGCCCTGATCACCAGCCCGACCTAGGGACCCTACCTGTACACAAATTTTGTGCACTGGGTTTCTAGTTCCCCAATAAACCTCTTGTACTTTTGTCTCAACATCTACTTCCTGAGGATACAGCTTTTGGTATTGGGATGCATTTTTACTAAACTATGTATTTTCTGAAGACAAAGCCTTCAAGGGACTTTATTTGTAGGTGTCAGTTCCAACTCCTTACCCCACAGCAGGTAGGTACAGCATCTCCTCGAATGCTTACAGTGGGTGTTTAGTTTTGTCATTTCTGGCACACTTGGATTTTCATGTATTACTTTCTATTTTATCTTTATATTTAATATTATGTTAGCTATATCCCATTTGGAACTTCTAGATGTTTATATCAGGAGTGTGTTCAGGATATATAATCCATGATATGCACATTTTTTTGACTTTTTTTGTAGAAAAGCAAGAATTTACTGACCACAGCAAAAACATACTAGGGCAGTGAAACATGGAAGGGCATAGAAGAAGTAACAGGAGAGCCTACGCTGGGCTGCCTTAGCTCACTGGGAAGTCAGAGAAAAGGGGAAAAGGGGGACTGGGAGACAGGTTCAGAGGATTAGCCTGGGATGAGCTGCTGCTGCCCATTGCTCCCCTGGTTGCAAGTCTCATAAGGTCCCTTAGAGCAGCAGTCGCCAACCGGTGGTCTGTGAGGTCTGGAAGGTTGGTGACCGCTGCCTTAGAGGTTAGGGGACACGTGCCAAGGGGAGGGAGAATAGGGGGAAGGGAATGGCATGGGTGTGCTCCCTGGTGGGAGAACACCCATTTTTTACTTTTGACCAAATTTTTTTAAAGACAGAAATTGCATATGTTTATTGTCTAAATTATGCTTTTAATATTTTTAAGGAATCATGTATACATTGTACAATACTCAGGGTTTAAAGGGAGTTTGACAATTATACCAAATCAGGAACTTCTTTTTATAGCTGCCAGGGAATAAAGCCTTCCTGTGTCTGTGAGTCTGTTGTCTCATTTTATACATACACCTTTATACACATTTCCAGGAAGATGTTATATACAAAGTCAGGGAGAGTCTAACAAGCTAACAGGAGTCTGAGCAAGGGTCCATAGAGAAACGTGGGAAGCATCAGTTCTACCTGCAGAGACTGGGCACAGCTGGGGGACACTAAGCCAAGACCTGAGGGTAAGAAAGATACCAGATGGCTGGGGGTGAGGGGAAGGGCGACACTGTATGCAGCAGGAACAACACTAAACAGTGTAGACACATGGAACAACATGGCGCTCAGGGAAGGGCAGGCAATTCAGTTCACCTAGAGGGTGAGATGAAAGAGTTGTCCTGCCTGTGCTAAAATGCAAGCCCCTCTGCAAATTGAAAGGGGTAAGGAGACAGATTCTCCTCTGGACTCCCAGAGGGAGCAGCCCAGCTGACATCTTGATTTTAACTCCATGAGATTCATTTTGGCCTCTGACCTCCAGAACTGTCGGGTAAATCTGTGTTGGCTTTAGCCACAAAGTCTGTGTTAATTTGTCCAGCAGCAACATAAGATTAACATAGGAAGGGATCACTGTGCTATGGCCTAAACAGAATGCTGCAGAGCAATGGGTTCAGAGCGAGAGTTCCCAGGAGTTTGGAAACAGTGTTGGGTCCCCGCCACTGGTGGTCTCCCTAACTACTGATTGGGAACCCCCTTTTGGATGTCTGAAACTCAACTCAGCACCCTCCCTTATCTAAACCCTCTCCTCCCATATTGTCTTGAAGAGTGCAGCCGAGCCAGATGCTTCCAAGTCATCCATCCAGTGAACCACTAAATGGTTGGGGGTTCTGCATGAAAAGTTTCCTGCATGCAGAGAACATGGGCAAGAGGGAGAGAAGGCATGAGAACTTGGAAGGGGGCTGGTGGAAGAGATGAAAGCATGAGATAACTGTTACCTCTGGTTGGTGGGAATATGGATGTCAGCCTGGGTCTAATGCCATGGGGCAGACTTGACTCCAAGACACAACTACAGGCATTGCCCATCCTTTCCTCGCCTTGGCTGAGCCAGAAGATGCAAAGAGAAAACATCTGGCATCAGCTTTGCTTTGATGTTCTGCACTTTTTCTCCTGACCTTCCTGTCCTCATGTGCGTCATATCAAATTACCTAGGACTAAATTACATAAACCCCTCCAAACGTCTCCAGAATCTTCCATTCAAAGCTCTTAGGCACTGTCACTTCCCTGGGTCCAAGGTGACCAAGTGCCTGGGGAGCTGACCACACAGCCTTGGGGGGCCATGTTTAGAGGCAGCAGCACCAGAGACGCAGATCTAAGAATGAAACCCACCAAACCACCTCAGTGCTGGTTAGGTTTTATTTTAACAGGGCATTTCCTCTTCATGTGTTTTTCAAAATATCAGTTATATCAATTAAAGGTGTAAACAGGTACAAAATATACAGTACAGAGAAACAATTTTCTTAACTAGTCTATTGCCTAACAAAAGTACACATGGGGGAGCCGAGTGAATAGCAGCCCTGGTCTCTCCTCTGTGGGGGGGGATAAGGGATCCAGAGGCGGCTTCAAAAAAACAGGAATGATTACTTGGGGACAGCACTGTGGTAAAATTAAGAAACCTGGGCCGATGTCCACCACTGTTAGGATGTCAGCAGAGGAGCATCGTCCATACCCAGCCTCTCAGACCTTGCTGGGTGTGCACACACCGGGGGGGCCTGGGCTCCGCTAAAGCCTGAGGCTTGACGATTTTGCTCATGCACATGTGGAACAAATCTTCTGAGAGGGCAAAAACAGTTTTCCTTCCCCAAACTGAACTTCTGGAGGATAAGCCATGTCTAACCTGAGGCTTTTCCCAACTGCTGCCCCCCACTGGCCCCCATGGTGCAAGGCTTAGTGGGATATATCCCCTTTGAGTTAATTTATTTCTCATCTCTAACAAGACTTGCCTTGCGTGTTTCACAAAGTCACAGTAACAAATGAGATATGATGTGAAAGAATTTTGACAATGAAAAAACACTACACAAAGGACACAGAAGCATTTTGCTGGAGTGGAAAAGCAGCTCCAGGTGGGTTGTCAGCCCAGGAGTCTGATAGGGATGGCCAGTGGCCCCTAACAGGGAAACACACAGTAGGGCCCGCACTGTTGGGGGGCCTTATCAGGTGGAGAGGCAAGCTGGCTGCTCTGGGGATGAGTCCTTCTCCCTGCTGAGATGAGGCTGCAGTTCCACAGCACCCAGCTGGTCTCAGGTCCCAGGAGGCTTGGAGCCTAGCCCAGGCCTGGGCAGAGCAGGGTCTCAATTCCCCAGGACTTTTTGCTAAGACCATCTCTTCCCTAGGAGTCAGTGGGGCCAGGGGAGGTCTGGTCCGTGTCCCTCCTCACTGTGTCCCCAGCCCCGCCGACCTTCACGTCAGACTTGGTAAGGACATAGCCCACATAAACACGCTCCGGAAACCAAAAATATGCTAGAAAGTTTAAACTGGTACTACGACTATTTTTCAGCTTCTTCAAGAATTAAAAAAGAGTTTTGTAATTAAGTTACTTAAAATTCTATGGTGCTGTTTCACAATCAGAGAGTTCTACTTTGTTCAGAGGTGGAAGCTGTATTTGTTTGACAGTTTCTCTTCTTCCAGTGATCAGTTCAGCAACTTGGGGGTTTGGTCTCCCAGTCTCCACTCCCGCCTCTGCGCTGGCCGCCACCCCAGGACATCTGGAAACGGGACTTTTTACACTCATGGCCCTCAAGGGTCAGAGGCTGAGACAACTCTGGCCATCCTGGGTGCCTCACAGGTCCCCACCCTCGGTGGGTCCCAGGACACTCAGGCCACAAGTCCAGTCAGTCACAAGGTCTGTGGAGGCTAAGGGTCCTTTGGAGGCAGGGCTCTTGAAGGGGTCCGGGGGAGCGGCTGGGAGGGGAGGCAGCGGCTGGCCCCGGGCCGGGCCCTTGGCCCCCGCCGTGTGGTTGCGCTGGTGCTTACGGAGGTGGTCCTTGCGGATGAAGCTCTTGCCGCAGACGGTGCAGGTGAAGGGCCGCACACCCGTGTGGGTTCGGTAGTGGTCGATGAGCTTGGAGCGCTCAGTGAAGCGCTTCTCGCACTCCGTGCAGGGGAAGGGCCGCTCACCCGTGTGCAGCATGCGGTGCCGGATCAGGTGGGCTGGCCGCGTGAAGCAGCGCCCGCACTCCCCGCACCGCAGGGCGCTTCCATCGCGTGCAGCCCCTGCCGCCCCAGCCGCCCCATCGGGCAACTGCCCGCAGCTGCGCTGGTGTGCGCTCAGGCTCACCTGTAGCTGGAAGCTCTTCCCACACGTGGCGCAGGTGAAGGGCCGTCCCCCGGGAGACGCGGCAGGGTGCTTCTTGAGGCCAGGCTTGTGGCCAAAGCCTTTGGTCCGGCCAGGGTATTTACAGGGGTCACTGAAGGATCTCGGGGCCTGGCCTGGGTCCAGCACAGCCTCTCCGTTGTCAGGGGAGGAATAGGGCAGCCCCTCAGGCCCAGTCCTCGGGTTCAGACCCACAGGAGGTTTACACCTGAAATTCCAGCCCCACCGGACTCCCCCAAGGAGCCAGTCCCCTGGTGGGGTCTCGTCCTGGGCCACCGTGGGGCTGGGGTCTCCCAGGTCCCGTTCAGGCCGGGCGGGCTCTCTGAGCCCGAGCACAGGGTCCTGGCTGGGGAAGGAGCTGCCCTGGCTCTCCCAGGCGCCTTCCTGGACAGGACTAGGGAAAAACCTTGTGGCTTGGCCTGGTCCAAATAGGGTCCCGTGGGCCTCTAGGTCAGTAGGGTGCACTGGTGTGGCCACCACCTCCTCTTCCTGGACTTCAGTTTTTATCACAATTTTTACATCTGCTGAGAAAGACAGAAAGACCAGATATCATTCTGTCCCCTCCTGGGCTTAGAGCAATTATCTGATACTTTCATCTGGAGATTCAGTAGCTCCTCCTCCCCTACCAGCACACGGAGCCCTGGTTTCCAAGCCACAGGATCCAGCTCAGCAGAGCGCCCAGAGATGGTCATGAGGCTGCTTCAAACCCCATGTGAGGACATCCCTGTACTAGTACCTTCATTGCAAGCAAAACCACCATCGCACCTGCTTACGGGATTTCATTTCTACTTTGGCTGTTAAGGCTAATCAAGAATTTATCTTGAGGAAGGAACTCTGACCGCCGGTGGCAATGTACTGGAGGGGAAAAGGCACTGGGTTGGGGATCATGTGAGGTGGCTCTGCGGCTTCCCACAGACCAGCTGTGGGCTGCAGGATGATTTTTAAAAATCCTCACCTAAGGATATCTTTGTATTGATTTACAGAGAGAGAGAAACATCAAGGTGAGAAAGAAACATTGACCCGTTGCCCTCTGTACCTGCCCCGACTAAGGATCGAACCCACAACCTAGGTATGTACCCTTATTGGAAATCGAACCCACAACCTTTTAAAAAAATATTGGTGGTGTATCAGATGATGCTCCAACCAACTGAGCCACCTGGCCAGGACTGCAGGGTAATTTCTTAACCAACAGCACATCTGTGAACCCTGGTCATAGGGCTGTATGAGGGTTCCCAGATAACACGTCTGAAGACACCTTGCATGTGATTTGGCATGCAGCAAGCATCCAATAAATGTGGCCAGCTAGCTAATAATAAAAATATTAGTAAACAGTAAAAATGTGATTATGTAAATATATTTGAATTTCATTTCCTGAAATTTTGTATCAGGGATCTAGGCTTTTAGCACATTTTTGGAGTGCTAAAATATAAAGTAACAGATAACAGGCCTACAAAATAGAAATAAAAAGAAAAATAATACATAAATTTGGAAGTTTTCTTCCCAATTCTGGCCTTTGGACACTTGTCTTTGGTAGTGCTGATATCTAAGACGTGCTTCTGGCTTGGTTTGTTTTTTCTTTGCTGAAGAGGAAGAGGAGGCAGGTTCTGAGCCTGAGCAGGAGGTGCATTCTCTCAAGGGACTGGCTTATGAGCACTGACTGGTTAACATGAGAAAAGAACGGCTGGCAATATGGACGTGCCCAAGGAAGGCTGTCCACGCCTAAGAATCTGGACAGAGATGAAAGACAGACCACTGAGTCCTAACATCCCAGATACCTAATACCTGCGGGCTGACAGGGCAGGGCAGCTCATCAATGAGGAGGCAGCCGGGGCCTAGGCAGCCTGCAGGGCAGCTGTGAGTCTTTCCCACCCTCTCTCTGCCACCTGTACCTTCTGTGGAGGCTGCCGTGTTGAGCTTCAGGGTCCCGTCTGAACATGCGGAGGAGGGGTGGTGGGGAGGGAGATCTGCCTGCCAGGAAGTAGGTGGGATAGTGGTTGAGAAGTTGGAGTGGACGCCTGCAATGAAGAGATCAGAGCCTGTGGGTTAGAGAACAGAAGCAGCAGGAAAAAACCCCACAGGATAGAAAGAAGAGACCCTGAGACCCACCCCGGGCATGCTGCATGACAGAACCCCCCACTGCTCCTGAACCAGGTTTCCTTTGCTCCCCTCTTGGAGGCACCAGGAGGCTCAGGGGTCACTGACTTATTTCATATCGCCCCTCCTTAATGTAAGGCAACGGTGCCTTAAGTGCCCAATGCTGGGGGCAAGAAAAGTGCAGCTGATGGAATGAGGCAGAGAAATATCAGGGCAAGAGCTTCACCAAACCCAGAGGTGCCCAAGGTGTCCTTTAGTGCAGGTCCTGTCTTAAAGTGAGGAAACTTCCAAGCTACTCAGGCCAGATGTTTGAAAGCCCATTGTTCCCATAATGTGGCTCCCAGGAACTCCTTACCCCAAGGCCTGCCCTGGGCTCTGCCTCTCGTTCCTGGTATCTGCTCCCAGTTTGAGCCACTCACCAGAAGCAGCATCTGTAGAGACGTCTCCTGCTCCGGAATCCAGCTGGCTGAGGCCCCATGGCTCCTCCCCGATATCTGGCTGTCCAGCTGCCCACGCTTCTACCCCCAAAGCCTGCTGCTCCTGGAGCTGGAGCTCGCCCTCCTGCTTGATCTGCATTAAGAGGTCAGGGGCAGGAACCGGCGCTCCCGAGCCTAAGAAAGGGAGAGTGTGTGAGCACAGCCTCAGGGCTCCCTGGCCCTGAGGTGGACACACAGCCAGGCAAGGAAATGGACCTCTCAAGGGTCACACAGCGTGAGAGCCTGGTAAGAAGGGAAAGAAGGGCAAACAGGGCCTGCAAGGGCTTCCAAGCAAAGCATGGCATTGAGCACATGGCACTGAGCACATGGGGCGGGTGGGAAAGGGTGAGGAACACACCAACACATTCTCAGGGCTAGACCACTGGTACATGGGAAAGACTGAGCCGCCCTGCGGAGGTCCTGCTTTCAAACACACACCGGTATTTAAGTGAGCAGAAAGAAAAAGATCCTGGGTATGAGAATAAGGACAAACACAAGTGAAAGCAAGAGTTGAGTGGGAGCTAAGTGACCCAGGAAATTGCTGGGACAGAATGCAAGCCTTAAGGGCTGGGGCTTTGATGTTCAAGTGAGGCAAGAGCAGAGATGAGCTGCCTGCATGAAGCCAGGAGCCATAGGCTCTGTCCCAGCTGTGAGACAGGGACCAGGAAAGCTCCATCTGAGGGGCCTCTAAGGAAGCTGCCCTCTTGTCCAGGGCCATGGGTGGTAAGCCACACATAAGAAATCAGAATCCCATGTCCACACTGAATTCATACTACCCATACGATGTAGGGACCCTAACCTGAGAAATTCACACAAAGACTGACTGAGAACCACGGCAACCCAGGAGGCCCAGCACAGGTAAATGAAACCTGCCCCACAGGGGTCCTTAATAAAAAACTAAACTTACAAACCAGAAGAGGAGCCAAATGGCATGACAGTTACTGCAGAATTCACTTCCAAGAACTACAGAAAAAAGAATAAGCTGAAAGATACAGTATAGTATATCTAAAATATTCAAAGAAATAAAGGAAGGAACAGAATCTCTAAGGCAAGAAAAGCAAACCATTTAAAAAATATATATATTTCTTTATTGATTTCAGAGAGGAAGGGAGAAGGAGAGATGGAAACATCAATGATGAGAGAGAATCATTGATCGGCTGCCTCCTGCACGCCCCCTACTGGGGACCAAGCCCGCCACCCAGGCATGTGCCCTTGGCCGGAATCGAACCTGCGACCCCCCAGTCCGCAGGCTGATGCTCTATCCACTGAGCCAAGTTGGCTAGGGCGCAAACCACTTTTTAAAAGGCAGATCTGAAAAAGAACTAAATATATTTGACATTCTAGAAATGACAAAATAATGAAAAACACAATGGATGGCTTAAAAATAGACTGAACATAACTAGAGAGAAGACTGGTGAGTTGTAAGACAGATCTGGGAAAATAATCGACAGCACTCCATTGAGAGATAAAAAAAGGAGAGAGAAATAAGAGACATGGAGTACAGAATGAGAAGTTCCCACACACGCTGGGAAATCCAAGGAGAGAATAGAGAAATGAGTAAAGAGGAATATGTAAAGAAATAATGATTGTGAATGTTCCCAAATTGAAGGCAACGAGCCCACAGTTTGAAGGGACACACCAATTCTTAAGTAGGAATTAAAAAATATTAGCCTCGACAATGTTCTGTAAAATGGAATAACAGTAAAGACAAAATCTTAAAAGGTACCAAGGAGCCCAGCCCACATGGCTCAGGGGTTGAGCGTTGACTTATGAACCAGGAGGTCACAGTTTGATTCCCGCTCCGGGCACATGCCCAGGTTGTGGGCTCAATCCCCAGAGCAGGAGGCAACCAATCAATGATTCTTTCTCATCACTGATGTTTTTATCTCTCTCTCCCTCTCCCTTCCTCTCTGAAATCAATAAAAATATATTTTAAAAAAAGAAAATGAGAAAAATAAACCATATTTTAAAAGAAACAAAAAATTCTCCTGACTCATAAATGATATGATTATCTCTTCAGAATATTTGAGAATCATCAATGAGAAAACTAATTAGCATTAATGAAAATTTTATCAAGCTTCGTAGACAGAAATATCAATAAATGAAAGAAAATGGATTTTGTACACTACTAGAGTTTTAAGGGAGCCCATCAATGACCATTTATCTTTCTGTTATGGGTCATTTTTTTTTCTTTTTTATTGAATTTATTGGGATGACATTGGTTGGTAAAATTATACAGGTTTCAGTTGTACACTTCTATAACACATCATGTGTATATAGTATTGTAGGTTCACCAACCCAAGTCAAGTCTCCTTCCATCACCATTTATCCCCCCTTTACCCTCTTCTATCCCCCTCCTCTGTCCTGGATTTTAACAGAGATGTAAAACAAAAGAGAAGGCAGGTGAGGGTAAACCATTTTTTTCATTGATAATTGAGGATGCAGCTTTTATCTGTGGGCGAGTGGGGTTCTTATACTGACCCTGGAATCAGGAAGCCACCTGCCAGACCACTTGGTCAGAGAGGCTGTCCCCAGCAGAGCAGCAGAGACCACCTGTCCCCGGGGGCGGCCAGCTGCCCAACCCTTGCTCCCAAACTCTCTAACCATATAGGTCCGTGGTGGGACCTCTGGTGGGGTGCCTAATGAGGCAGAGAGGGGGGTGTTACATAACAGCCCCAGCTACACAAGAAAATGTACTGGAAAAGGGATGTTCCTGCCCCAAGCCCCCAGTCCCTATGAACAACAAACAGAACATGCAAGTTAAAGAAGGTACCCACGACAATAGTGATTTTTTAAAAAAAAAAGGAACCTAGGACTCTATCTAACAAAGAAATGTTCAAGACTTTTTTTGGAGAAAATCACAAAACTTCATGGAGGTATTACAGATGAGTTATATGGAGGGATTTAAAATATTCACAGATAACAAGCCTCAGTGAAGGGGCCAATTCTACCCCAAATGATTAATAGAATGAATGCAACTCCAACCACAATCCCATCTGGATTTTCATGGAACTTGATAAGGTAATTTGAAAGTTTACCTGAAAGAGCACAGGGAAAGAAGACCCAAAGCGCTCGTGAGAAAGAACTGGGGTCCCGACCCCCTACTGCCACAGGAATCCATTCCAGATGGATTCAGAACTTGAACAGAAAGGCAAAATTTTTAGTAGAAAACATGAGATGGTGTACTACAACCTCGAGGTAGGGGAAATTTTCTTAATTTTTATGACATAAGAAGGAGAAACCATAAAGATAAAGACTAGTAAATCCAAGTATATTAAAAGCATCTGTTCAATATACCATAAATGAAGACATCATTAATACACATACCTGACAAAAAGATTAATATTCAGAATATGTAAAGAACTCTTACAAATCTAAGAAAGAGAAGACAACGGAAAAGAAAGATGGACAAAAGGCAAATAGGTATTTCATAGAAAAGGAAGGAGAAGTGGCCCATAAACAGTATACAACTTTCAATCTCATTAATCAGGAAAAACTACATGTTTTAAACTACAAATTTTAACCGTTTTCACTCCCACCAGATGGGCAGAAATTGAAATGTAAGGCATTTCCAGGGCCGACGAGGGTGAGGTGCAGCAGGGCCCACCAGGCCCACGGCTGTGCCCTGGCTGGTCCCACCAACTCAGAGAACTCTCCGACGTTACCTGGAAAAGTCGAACATGCATGTTTCCTACGACCCGGCACTTCCACTCCTAGGTCTACACCTAGAGAAACTTTTACACATGCATAAGAATTTTCACAACAGATTTTTCTTAAAAGCAAAAGAGTTAGAAACAATACAAACACCCACAACAGCAGAAGGAATAAATGCACTGAGTTACATCCACAAAATAGAAAGGGATAACGTGGCGAAAGCTGTGACAGTGAATGAACTACAGCTGTGCCACACAAACACGATGACTCTCAAAAACATGTCAAAGGAGAAAAGCAAGTTAAAGAAGAATATATATGACCTTATTCCTATATAGTTCAAAATCAGGCAAAATTAAATGTTATTCAGAAATATATACATAGAAATAAAAATGTAAAGAAAAGCAAGAGACCCATCATGTTTGTTCTGAATTTTTTTTTGTGTGTGTGTGTGTGTGTGTGTGTGTATCTGTAAGAGGAAGGGAGGGGCCTGGAACCAGAGAGGGACAATGGGGTCTTGGAAGGGTCTGGTGGTGATCTATTTCTTATGCAGGGTGTTATGGGGTTTTACTGTCTTGCTCTAATCTTTATCTGAATTTGTTCAGTATGTGATTTTGTTTGTTATATAAAATACACAGTAAATATATTTAAAAAAACAGCTGATCCAATATAACACTTGTTCACAATAAAAACTTTAGTGCCTGGCTGGCATTGCTCAGTGATTGAGCATCGACCTATGAACCAGGAGGTCACGGTTCAATCCCCAGTCAGGGCATATGCCTGGGTTGGGGCTTGATCCCCGGTTGGGGGCTTGATCCCCAGTGTGGGGTGTGCAGGAGCAGCCGATCAGTTATTCTCTCTCATCATTGATGTTTCTATCTCTCTCTCCCTCTCCCTTTCTCTCCGAAATCAGTAAAAATATATTTTAAAAAAACTCCCACCAAAAAAACCCTTTAACTAGCAGGGAAGAAAACTTGTTTAAGCTAAGAGAATCTTTAAGTCTAAGGATGAAAAAATCATCCTTACTGCTGAAACTCTAGAAGCATCCACAGACAAGGATGCTAGCTAGCATCACCTCTATTCAACAAAGTCTTAGCCTGACTGCTAAGCAGAAAAATAAAGTTACAGACATTTAAAAAGTGTTATTTGTGAAGGGTACCATTGTCCACATAAAAAACCTAAAAGAATCTAAATAGACAGGTCATTATATCTAAAAAGAGAGTTGAGCAAAATTTCTCTTTCATTAAACACAGAGCATGGCTGTTCACCTGTAATAACTACTTAAAACATATTATTGACTTAAAAATCCCATTCAGAACATAGCTTGGCCAGTGTGACTCAGCTGTTTGGAGCATTGTCCTGTGCACTGACAGGTTGTGAATTCAATTCCCGATCAGGGCACATGCCTGGGTTGCAGGTTCAGTCCCTGGTTGGGGCACGTACAAGAGGCAACTGATCCATGTTTCTCTTACATAGATGTTTCT